GTGGTCCTGGAGAAGACTCTTGAGAGTTCCTTGGCCAGAAAGAAGATCAAAACAGTCAATCCTAAAGGAAATCAACCCTGAATATTCATTGAAAGGATTGACACTGAAACTGAAGCTCCAATACTTTGGCTACCTGATGCAAAGAGTCAAATCACTGGAAAAGACCCTAATGCTGGGAAAGATTGAAGGCAGGAGGAGAAGGGGATGACAGAGGATGAGATGGTTGGATGGCATCACTGATTTCGATGGACATGAGTCTGAGCAAGCTCCGGGTGATGTTGAAGTACAGAGAAGCCTGGCATGCTGCCGTCCATGGGTTTGAAGAGAGTGGGACATGACTGAGCAACTGAACAACAAAAGTGTGCATATGTTAATTCTAAACTCCTGTTTACCCCCCACTCCCAGCCCCGCTATCCCCTTCGGTAACTGTCAGTTTGTTTTCTATGTCTGTGAGTCTATTTCTGCTCTGTAAATAATTTCATTTCAATCATTTTTTTTAGATTCCATGTATGATATCATATGATAGTTGTCTGACTTTTTTCATTTAATATGATAATCTCTAGGTCCATCCATGTTACTGCAAGTAACATTATTTCATTTTTTATGGTTTAAAAGTGTTCCATTATATATATATATATATATATATATATATATATATAAATATGTAACATATCTTCTATATCCATTCATCTGTCAGTGGACATATTTAGGTTGCCTGCATGTCTTAGCTATTGTAAATTATGCTGCTATGAACATTGGAGTGCATGGGGTTTTTTTTTTTCACTTAAAAAAATTTATATTGTAGTATAGTTTATTTTGGAATTCCCTGGTGACTTAGATGCTAAAGAATCAGCCTGCAATGCAGGAGACCCGGGTTTGATCCCTGGATCAGAACGATCCTCTGGAGGAGGGCATGGCAACCCACTCAGTATGCGTGCCTGGAGAATCCCATGGACAGAGGAGCCTGGCAGGCTACAGTCCATGGGGTTGCAAAGAGTCAGACATGACTGAGCAACTAACACTTTCACTTTCATAGTTTATTTTGGAGCAGGAAATGGTAACCCCTCCACGATTCTTGCCTGGGAAATCCCACGGAGAGAGGAGCCTGAAAGGCTACAGTTCCTGGGGTTGCAAAAGAGTTGGACATGACTGAGCAACTGAACCACAACAACATAGTTGATTTACAATGTTGTTTAGCTTCAGTGTACAGCAAAGTGATTCAGTTAAACATACACACATTCTCTTTCAGATTCTTTTCTCATATAGGTTATTTCAGAGTAGAGCTCCCTGTGCTATACCATAGATCCTGGTTGATTATCTATTTTATATGCACCTGCATGCTAAGTTACTTCAGTCATGTCTGACATTTGTGACCCCATGGACTATATAGCCACCAAGCTCCTCTGTCGATGGGATTCTCCAGGCAAGAATACTGGAGTGCCTCCATGTATTCTCCATGCCTTCCTTTAGATCTTCTCGACCTAGTGATCAAACCTAGGTCCATCCATGTTGCTGTAAATGGTATTATTTAATTTCTTTCTATGGCTAATACTCCATTATACACATGTACATCTTCCTTATCTGTTCATCTGTTAGTGGTCATTTAGGATACTCCCATGTCTTGGCTATTGTAAGTAGTGCTGCTACAAACATTGGGGTGCCTGTATCCTTTTTGGATCATGTTTTTCTCTGGATATACACTCAGGTGTGGGACTGCAGGGTCATATGCACATATGTGTTAGTTGCTCAGTTGTCTGACTCTTTGGACTATATCCCACCAGGCTCCTCTTTCCATGGAATTCTCCGGGCAAGAATACTGGAGTGGGTAGCCTTTCCTTTGGTAGCTCTTCTTTTAGTTTTTTAAGGAACCTCCATACTGTTCTCCATAGCGGCTGCATCAGTTTATATTCCCACCAACAGTGTAGGAGGGTTCCCTTTTCTCTACACTCTCCAGCATTTATTCTTTGTAGACTTTTTGATGATGACCATTCTAATCAGTGTGAGGTGATAACCTCATTGTAGTTTTGATTTGCATTTCTCCAATAATTAGCAATGTGGAGCATCTTTTCATGTGCCTCTTGGCTATGTGTATGGACTATGTGGTCTATATAGACCATATTTGGAAGAACTATTTAAGTCTTCTGCCCATTTTTTTATTGGGTTGTTTTTTGGTGATATCTTTTAAAACTTTTTAAATGTGTTAATTCGTTTATATATAAATCACTGCTGTACACTTGAAACTAGCACTACATTGTAAATTAATTATACATTTTTCAGATTCTTTTCCCTTATAGGTTATTACAAGATATTGAATATAGTTCCCTGTGCTCCGGAGTGCTTGCTGTTTACCTATTTTTATATACTAGTGTGTATATATTAATTCCAAACTATTTATCCCCTGCCCCCTGTCCCACTATCCCCTTTGGTAACCCTAAGTTTGTTTTCTATGGTTTTCTATGTCTGGGAATTTGTTTCTGTTTTGTAAATAATTTTATTTCAGTCTTTTTTTTTAAATCTCACATATGATATCATGTGATAGTTGTCTTTTTCTTCAGTTAATATGACAATCTCTAGGTCCATCTACGCTGCTGCAGATGGCATTATTTCATCTTTATGGTTCAAAAATATTCCATTATATACATGTACCACATCTTCTTTATCCGTTCATCTGTCAGTGGACATTTAGGTTGCTTCCATGTCTTAGTCATTGTAAATTATGCTGCTATGAACATTAGAGTGCATTATTTTCCTTTTCTAAAAACATTTTATATTCTATTGTAGTATAGTTGATTTAAAATGTTTTAGTTTCATGGGTACAGCAAAGTGATTCAGTTTACATATATCCTTTTTTCAGATTCTTTTCTCATATAGGTTATTTCATAGTATTGAGTTCCCTGTGCTATACAGTAGGTCCTCATTGATTATCTGTTTTATATATGCATGCGTGCTAAGTCATTTCAGTCATGTCCAACTCTTTGCGACCCCATGAACTGTAGCCCACCAGGCTCCTGTCCCTGGGATTCTCCAGGCAAGAATACTGGAGTGGGTAGCCATGCCTTCCTCCTGGAGATCTTCTCAACCCAGTGATCGAACCTACAGCTCCTGCATTGCAGGTGGATTCTTTACCAATAATGTATATATTAATCCCAACCTCCTTTGTCCCTTCCCCCACCCATCCCCTTTGGTAACCATAAATTTTTTTTTCTACGTCTTTGAGTCTGTTTCTGGTTTGTAAATAAGTCCATTTGTATCATTTTTTTTAGATTCCCCATATAAGTGATAACATTTGTCTTTTTCTGGCTTCACTTAATATGATCATCGCTAGGTCCATCCATGTTGCTGTAAATGGTATTATTTCATTCCTTTTTATGGCTAATACTCCATTATACACATGTACCACATCTTCCTCATCTCTTCATCTGTTAGTGGACTTTTAGGGTACTCATGTGTCTTGGCTATTTTAAGTAGTGCTGCTACAAACATTGGGGTGCATGTATCCTCTTGGATCATGTTTTCCTCTGGATACACGCTAACGTGTGGGACTGCAGGGTCACATGGTAGCTCTATTTCTGGTTTTCTAAGGAACTTCCATTCTATTCTCCATAGTGGCTGCACCAATTTACATTCCCACCAACAGGAGAACATTCCCCTTTCCTCCACACTCTCCAGCATTCATTGTTTGTAGACTTCGATGGTGGCCATTTTGACCCATGCGAGGTGTTACTTCATTGTAGTTGTGATTTGCATTTCTCCAATAATTAGCAATGTGGAGCATCTTTTCATGTGCCTATTGACCATCTGCATGGAGTAAGTGCTCCATACAGACTTTTGGAAGAAATGTTGACTTAGGGCTTTTGCCCGCTTTTTGATTGGGTTGTTTGTTTTTATGATATTGAGTTGCCTGAGCTGTATATTTGGAATTTAAGCTCTTGTCAGTTGCCTCATTTGCAAATATTTTGTCTTGGACTGTAGGTTGTCTTTTCATTTTGTTTCTGCATACCTTGTTTTCTTGTTTCTCTTAGGCTGCTTCACTTTTCTGCAGAATTTATCAGTTTCTACTGAGGCTTACCTTCAGTCTTACTCTTGACCTTCCCCAGAACCCCTGGCCTCCCTGTCCTGTCCACCCAAGGCCCCTTCTGCCTTGCACCCTGCTGTGGGGGCACCTGAGCCTGGTTGGTGTTAACTCCTGGAGCAGAAGAGGGACAGCCATCTCCCAGGCAAACCCCCAACATGAGGTGACTGGAGGCCTGGCACTGTTCCTGCAGTTCCCCCTCAGCTCCCCTTCCCAGCCTGTGGAGCCAGGCCACACCCAGCAAGGTTTGTGAATGGGCACCAGGGCCCCAGGAATTGTACATCAACTCCAATTGCTGCTGTGATTGGGTGAGGGGGGAGCGGTCAGTTTCTCAGAGGAATTAAGCTGCTATACTGGGACAGGGTGTCCTCCTCTTGCCTCTGCTCAGATCGCTACATTCTGGGCCACCTGTCGCCCCCACCTCTCCCGCCCCTGGCCAGAGCGTCCCATCAACTATCGGGAGGCCACTCTGCACTTGACACAGTCTTCAACTTCACTGCCTTTTGCACATCCTCGAGGGTCTGAGTCTGTGCATCCATTTATCTGCCCACCCATCCCCTCATCCAACCATCGCCTCAATGCCTACTCTGCGCTAAGTGTGCTCTTGGCTGTAGTGTTAGGCTTCACGAGTTAGGAGCACCTGAGGGAGGGCAGACAAGGATGTGTGTGCACATGGGCTGGAGGGCTGCTACGCTCCATGAAGAACAAACGAAGAGAAAGAGACCCATCTACTCGTTCTAAACAGGTTTATTAGGCACCTACTGAGTGCCACGTGTGGAGAAAGAAGCTAGAGGACCATGCAGTCGGCACAGCAGCTCTGGCCATCCCCTGGGTGCTCATCCAGAAGAGCTAGAAGCCATGGGCAGCAAACAGGCTTCGGCACAGAGACCAGACGAAAGGGCTGTGATGTCCAAGGAGGGCTGGATGGTCAGAGAGGCTTCCCAAGGGTGGGGAGGGCTGGCCAGGCCAGGTGTGCAGCTGGGGTGAGGGAGAAAGATCCCAAAAGGGGGCGCACAGGCAGGTGCAGGTTGGCTGACAGCTGTGGGCTAAAGAGTGCGAGGGCTGATGGGGAGCCCCAGGTGCTCAAGGCCGAGGCTGGGGTCGGGGGACTGTGCTCCTGGGTTTTCATCTCGATGCTCACTGGCCGCCACAGGGCGGCTGACCGGGTCGGGCCTCCATCAGGGAGGCAGGCAGACACGCGGCCAGGCCAGGCTGGCCTTCCCCTCATCCAACCCCCACATCCTAGCTCCTGAGTACACAGCCTGTGGGTGCTGCTCTCTCAGACCCTTCAGGAAAGCCTCCGCCCAACCCTCTGAACCAAACACAACAGGATTGGGGGGGGCCCTCCGGAAGGGTCCTTCACGGTCACTTTCCACAAGGCGGTGCCTGGCGCCCCCTCCCAGCCCTGCCCGCCTGGGGCCCGGGGGGCACCCAGGTGGACATGGGCCCCTCTCCCCACTCCAAGCTCTCACACGACCATAAACCAAAGAACCCCTGCCTCCCCTTCAAACATGCACATTGAAACGGGCCTCCCAACTGCCCGCTTCCCCTCCCAGCTCAAAGGCGGCACCGTTAACTTTCAAGAAACAGCCTTTGAACGTGGGCTTGGCAGCAGGCTCAGGGCACCATGGGAAGCAGAAGAACTTGACCGTTGCTCTGCCGTGGCCTCAACATTTCACTTCCAAAGGCTTCTCTGGGAAGGTTCTGTCACTGCCTTGATCTCAAAGACGGTGGTGCTGACGATGTCGTCCTGCACAGGGGCCCCAGAGAGAGGGCCGTGACCATGCCCAACCCCCACCCAAACACCCAGGGCCATGGTGACAGATGGAGACCATTCCCCAGACCCAAAAAAAGCTGCAAATAAAAATGGGGCTGGCAGCTCACCCAGGCGCCAAGCAAAAGGCTTGTCCTTAGCGGCCACAGGAAGGCCTCTTCAGCCCGTGCTTCCGTGTCCTGTCCCGCAGGCTGGCCTCCACGACAGGTCCATGAGGCTGACCACGAGGACTCTCAGCTGATGGGATGAGCATCCTGCTGGGAACAGTCTCTGAGGTCTAAAGAGTTAGAAACCCTCGAGTGCAGCCAGACCTGAACGAGGGGCCTGGGAGCAGCTAGGAGGAGAGTGATGCTGGCTGCTGGGGTTGGGGGGGTGGTGTGCTCTGCCTTCCACAAATCTGGCGCCCCGGATGAGAGGGATGGAGGACAAGCCCGTGGCCACCTCAGCCGAGGTCACTGCATCCAGTGGGCTCGTTTACTATGCAGCAGTACAAAGTGTTAGCTCTAGGACTGTGCCGCTGTTCATTTTTTATTTTTAAACAGATGGTCTGAAGTTTCCTGCTTATCAACCGATACAGCTTGGCAATAAACTGGTACAGTAAATCCTCTTGTCTCGGGTGGCTATGGGTAGGGGGAGGGGGGCACCATGAATTAATCAGGCCTCTTTGAGAAGCCCAGTCGTGAACCTAAGGTCAGCTGTGATGAGGTATTTCTAAAAGGCCCATCGCTGGGCCAGATAGGACCCCAGTCTAACTGCTATCTGCAGACCCTGCAACACGGAGACCCTTAAGGGTAGGTGGGTTCTATTGGAAGGTGAAGACCACACCTTACCTCCCAGCAAAGCTCTCCCTCAAGGGCAAGGTGAGATGCCCACCAAGAAGAGGCTGAAGCACTAAGATTTTGCAGCAAGGAGGGACATTAAGGAGGCTCAGTGGTACCACACAGAGCAGTGTCAGGGGTCTGGGGGGACACAACTGCTGATGGCTCCAAGGACACTGAAAGGAGAAAGGCTCGGGGGAGAGAGAAAAGGGGGCAAAGGGTTAACAGGACAAACCTCCCTCACACGCCACAACACGCCCACAACCCCCAAGGTCACACCCGGATGGGTCTTCAACTTGGTGTCCTCCTTCCGTTAGCCAAAACAGCCCTCAGTGCAGGGGACATCTACGGGTGATCTTCAGGCTGTTGTCTGCTGACTCAGAGAAGTAGCCATGATTTTGAGAACAGGCCCCTTCTCAGGTGAACGCGAGCAGGCTGTAATGAAATGGGCTGAGTAGAGCTCTCCCAGGCCTCCAACATGATCTCAGACAGATCACCTGTTTGAAGTTAGCTCCTGCGAGCCTTAGCCCTTCTACTTGGCCAGAGGAAGGAGTCGGAGTCGCGAGGCCCCGCTGATGCTGGAGAGCAGGGGTGGGGTGGGGAGCTGTATGGCATGGCCTCCTTCACGTTGGGAGGAAAAAAGCTGGTGGAACCCAACCATCATGCAGACAAGGAAACCCACATGGGTCACACCACCTACCTGAGACCACAGGGCCACAGGTCCAAGAAGTGTCCAGGGTGGAGGGGCGGGCAGGCACAGGAACCTACTCTGGAGAGTCTCCTAAGAAAGGGGCACCACCTGTTGGTGGGGGCCTGGGGCACTTTGTGCCAAGGCTCCAGTCCCGGCAAGGTCAATCACCCAGAGAGCAGTACTATGGGTGGGGCTCCAGCGAGATCATGGAGGTGTCCAGGAGCCCCTATCATAGCGGACACATTGCACCAGGCACCCAACCGCCCCCCACCCCGCACCCCCGCTGCAGCTGACCCCCAGGTACCTGCTGTTCCCATCGGGACTAGAGATATGGCTCTCGTACTGATCTCTCTCTAGGATCACTTTCCTCCCTGGTCAGAAAACCCGGGAAAACCTGTATCACCCTGTCCGGAAGGTGAGGATGAGCGGCCTCCTCAAAGGGGGCCAGAGGAGGGGAGGCACTGCTGGGGTCTGTAAAGTCAGCAGGGACCCCCTCCCCATCCCGTGGGCTCCCGGCCCCAAGGAACCAGCTCTGAGGACAGACTGAGCCCCAGGAGGGGAGGAAGGGCCCAGAAGCAGCAGAGACCCTGTACTCCACAGTCCAGAGAAGGTCTCAGAGGGAAAGCCTCCCAGACACTGGCCTCCGGAAGCCACCCCCGCTCCAGCCTGACCCACCACCTGAGTTCCAATCTGGGCTCCCCCACTGTCCAGCTGTGTGGCCTCAGGCAAGTTACTTGACCTCTTTGTGCCTCAGCTTCCCTGTGAGATTACTGTCAAGACTGAGTGAGTGAATGCATCCTCCTGGGAGAGAGCAGGCACCACTTCTTGTGTGTGCTCACTTGCGTCCAACTTCATGACCCCATGGACTGGAGCCTGCCAGGCTCCTCTGTCCATGGGATTTTCCAGGTAAGAATACTGGAGTGGGTAGCCATTTGCTCCTCCAGGTAATCTTCCCGACTCAGGGGTTGAACTTGCGTCTCCTGTATTGCAGGCAGATTCTTATACCCACTGAGCCATCAGGGAAAAGACTCATCAAATAAAGAGGAACAAACAAGGCAGGAGGAGAGCTTTTCTAGGCCAAGCTCCTCAAGGAAAGAGGACCTCCCAAGCCCCTAGGAAGGTGGCCCTGAAGGCCTAGCCGTAGTCACAGCTGCCGTGGCTCCTCCCAGGGGCCTGGACAAACAATAGCGAAGTCGGAACCACAGAGGACCAGGAGGAAATTCTGTACAGGAATAGGAATTACTCGAGGGCTGCCCACAGCCAAGGCCCCGAAAGCCCCAAGAGACCCCCCCAGCACAGCCCCCTCCTCCTCTCCCTCCCCTGAGTCTTGAGCCACACCCAGGCTTCAGCCTTGCCCCAGCCTCCTTGGTGCCTTCCTAACCACAGCTGAGAGGCCCAGAGCTGCACAGATGTTGGGCTAGCTGTGGTCACTACCCTGACCCTGTGGAGTCTGTTCAGACTGCTAAGCGGCCACCGGAGAAAACCAGGCCAGCTCGCTGGCCCTGTGGGCTCGGCGAAGGCCCAGGGAGGGCTCACAGCCCCCTTCCTCCACTGCCTCCTCACCGGACCAGGCCACCCCAGGCAGGTCCATAAGCCCAGGTCTCCCGGCCCAATGTCAAGGCAAAGTCAAGGAGGCCCTGGGCAGCCGCTCAGAGGCTAATTCTGATGGCCCTCATTCCTCCTGAGATAATAATAGCTCCACTTTACTGCAGGAGGCAAGTGCAGATGCCTACAGAGGCCAGGCCTGCTCAGCCTTGACTGACGGAGCCAGGTGGTGGCGGGTCTGTGGCTCGCCGACAGGGGGCGGCCGCCCCTCAGCTTCGGGGCCTGTGGAAGGTGGGCCCTAGACACCCAAAGGCTCCCTTAAGCGCAGAAAAGTCAAATCTCCAAAGCTTTTGGAAAAATCTATGATCGAAACGTTCGCGGCCAACAGAACTCAGACTTTAAAAACTCTGTGGGGATGAAACACATGCTGCGTGGGTTCAGGCCTGGGGGCAGTGTCTAGCTCCCCTCTGGGGTAGTGGGCGTGCACAGATGGATTTCTGCTGTTAACAGCGGTGGCACTTAGGGGCCTGTGCGGGAAGGGAGAAAGGTCCTAGGCAGAGGAACAGCTGCCCAGGGGGCACTGGGTGGGCACTAAGGCGGGTGATCAGGTCTGTTCTACAGCCAAAACTAGGGCCTGAACCAAAGCTGTATCCCCACTCCCCTCTGAGCTGGGGGTTGGGTCCTGCTGACCTCCCACCTCCAGACCTGTCCCTCGCGGGTGGGTCCCCTGTCCCCAGCACCCGCTCAGAGTCCTCACCTGCCCCCCCCCCCCCCCCCCCGCTTGCCAAGGCCTTTAGCTCACTCACATGACCTTCCCGCTACCTCTTCACATGCTGGGCTGCTTCCCAGACCTAATCCCGCCCCGCTCTCCTGACCATATCTGGCCATGGCAAGGCGGCGGCCTCCAAACCCCCCTGCCCCTCTACCCTGCCACGACTGGGCTTCCATGTGTCCTGGGACATTAAAAATATCTGTGCAGCCTTGGCACATTAAAGCCCAGTGCCCCCAGCTGTTGGAATACAGGGCCTCACTGGCCGGCACATGCCACCGCTTCCAATAAATGCGTCAGTTGACCTGGAACGCGGCGGCCAAGCCCTCCACCTCATCTCAGAGCTCTTAACTTGGCTCCTGTGTCAAGGGTATTGTCAGCCCAGCCCATTCCCGACCCTATAAGGAGAAGACAGGCGCGGGCTGGGGGCCTCTGCGCCATCTGTGTGTCCAGGACACAGAGCACATGCCCGGAGCATGGTGCGGTATCCACCACAGCTGTCCCTCTGCCTGGCTGCCGACCCCGATGGGCCCCACAGCCCTGGGATTAATAGAGCACAAGGGGGCCCGGCAGCTGGCGGGGGCAAAATCTTTCCACACGGACGGTGACAACTGACATCATGCTGACTTGG